TTTTGTACAGTCAGAGTCAAAACTTTTTCTTGGCCGATACGTTGGCGCGTATCTCGATTGTCCATGACGCAACGTTGCTGGACACTCGCTAAACGCGCCGAGGCAGTGTAGAGTGAATTCGGCAACCCTAAAGCCGAAATAACACGGCGGCGAATTCCAGAAGACATTCCAGAAGGCAGAGGTGACCAAAGTCGCAGGGTCGCGTTTGGTGACCAGACTAGGGTTAACTCGTAGAAGCGTTAGGAGACTTTCTCTCACAAAAATGTTCTCTTCTAGTTTACTCTGGTGGTGATAAAAATCGTCTGTCGGTCAAGGTTGAGCAGAAAAAAAATGCTATTCTTCGGCTCCACTGAAACTTTCCGCTGAACTTCGAACAGCGCCTTCGGTGGCGATATTTAACTCTATTCATACGAAAAGGCGATGAGAGATTCGCTCATCCGACGCCTCAAGAATGCTGGTGGAAGCACGCGCCTACCGACGATTTAGGGGATTATTTTATCCGGCGGCTAGATAAAAGCATTTCTATCTACCTATCTATCTCAGATATTTGCAAAATAAATATCTCAGTACTACCATTACATAGACGTATTTGAAAAAAGTTATTTTTAAATTTCCACAGCACATGGATTATTCAAAAAAACTCTTCCCACTCGAATAAATCCCCTGAACCCCAATGTTGTTTGACGTTCCCCAAATTGATGCATCACAAAAAGGTCCAACTTCTCTCCCGTACATACTTCTTCAAAAATAAATTCTGAAGTGTATGCATTTGTGATTTCAGAGTCAAGTGGACACTGAGGAGGATCAGAAATGTTTTTAATGCACCCCAGTTTTCCCTCCTCGCCGTCAATGCCAAATGGACGGCTATTTCCGTTTCATTTTGTTCGAGTATCGATACAACATTTTCAAAGGGAATTAAACAAGAGATCTCTCCCACAAAAAATTCTCTTGAAAAAAAAAATTTGTTGGATGTTTCAGCATCCGTAAGCGGCCCCCGGGCCTGAGAATTATCGGCGCAAAAAATTGTGCGGCTTCTTTCGATATAGCCGTAATACGCAGTCTCGTTGTTTGTGGCTGTGGTGTGGTAGGCGAAAATCGAGTCGGAACTGGTTGCTTTTACATCTCTCCGGAGCCGCTGACGTAAAGATTTGCCGCGTGAATAGGACAGGAAGCCCAAAAAAAAGGTTCATGCAGAGGTTGGGAATTTCGCGATATAAAAAATGATGATAATGGTAATTAATGAAGGCGGAGGAGGGATGTTGATGAGAGGAGTAAGCATGATGAATTACCTAGCGAAAATTTTATCATGACGAGGACAATTGTGTGATGAAAAAAGTAATTAGGTAACGTGATTGTGATCAAGAACCCATCTAGCGACAGATGGGGACATGACAGGAAATTTCCACTCCTTGGAGCACCTAACCCACAGCGTCAAGCTGGTATGACATTGATCGCAAACTCATCAGGTGAATATTCTCTTGGGGGAAGTCCTGATTCGATCGCCAGGCGACTTAGATGATTACTTATCAGAGGAAGAAAAAAAAGTTTCGAGTCATCAAGTACATCGTGTGAATGGATTATTGTTTTAACGAATAGATTTTTAATTACTGATTCAACGTATTTTATAACTTTCCGCAATTGTCCCTAAGGAAATCTATTTTTAGGTATTATCGTGGTATGGACAACGAATTCATAAAATTGCCATAATTTCCGTTCAATTTGATGTCTTTCAGTGACCACAAGGCCACCTATTCCCATTATTCAATTATTTAGCCTCCTTCGGAACTTCCCCAGATTTCCTTCTTGCGGTTCAGAATTGTTTGAAAAAAACACTTGGAGAATTTGGGAAATACACTTTTAGAAATTTTTGCGGATTCCCAACATCGTGAACTTCAAGTGGGAGTGAGGTGAAATTGGTTAGAATTTTTTTTGGGAATTTAGAACATTGACTTTTTCATATTTAATAAACCAGGCGATGCCAGTGAAAACATGAGTTTGCAAATGTATTCTGAAAATTGAATATTACATTGTGGTTAATTAACAAAAAAAGTTGTTTTTTAAAGTAAAATATGATAATTGAATACTCATATCATTGTATTGTTATTGTTGTTGTTCTATTTCCAATTACGGGTGAATTTTTCAATGTCATTGTAAATTATGATAACTGAAAAACACTACCAAAATTCTTGAAACATTGCATCGATTGTTTCAATAATTCTTTCTGCTTCTTCAATAAGGATTTAGAATTAACTCCATCAGAAAAAGAAGGGGGTCACTGGATGATTCACCAATATTATCTTTTTAGTCGTTCTGTGAAACGCTTATGATAAGAAAATTTGCATGACATTAAATTCCGTTACTATATAAATTGAATGAGAACACTTGATTCACAAGTATATTTTGAAACATTCAGAGATTTCACGTGTCAGCAGTGTCACTCCAGGCTATCTCTGCCTCATTTCCGTTTTTTATCGTTTGGATGTATATACTTGCTGCGAGCTGTAGAAACGACGCGTTCCACAGGTGTGCATGAACAATATCTTATATTTTTATACTATTCTTAAAGGTTATTGGACCCTGAAAGTATCAAACTAATACATTCATCATTTTTCTGACTGTCTTCCATGACTTGCAGTGGGAATATTTCGTGTGGGGAAGAAAGAGTTCCGATGGAATTTTCATTCAAGAAATGGAGAATGCAGAAATAGTAGTAAAAACGGTCGACAAAAGCCTTAGAGATTTGTTGATTTTTTCATCCCGTTTTTTCTCTCCTGGGATACGAAAAAGAGGCAAAGCAGTTTTTCTAGACATCTTTTGGAATCCCTCGACCATGGGATTACATACTTTGGTGGATGCATTCGTATGCAGGGTCGTTTCTCATTGTTATTTCGATGACAATAAACGCCCAGGAGGTCTTTGCCACCAGCTTCATTTTTCCTTTTCTTCATTTTTAAAATCTAAACGGGAAAAAGGCATTTGCAGAAAAAACGTTCGTGGATTCTAAATGGCGCTTAAACTCAGTTTTCGGCTTTCGGTTTATCTCGTTTTGGAGATCACGGGGGTTTTCGGGACTCGGAGAATATTACACTGCGTGGGGGCTCGCGTTCAGCCAGTCAGGTAGAATACACACCTACCACGACGTGAGGTCGTAATACTCGGTATTGACTCGTGCAGACGGATGGTGAACGCTCAATGGAATGTCCAATGACCACTTTTTTCTTTCCCCATTCATTCTTCATATTTACATAAACATGTTTCCTCTAATATTTCAATTATGAATCCTTGTGGGGACATTTTTGAAATTAATATTTGGGTAAATGTTAAGAAAGACGGCCCCACATGAATTTCATTTATCACCTGTAATAATCGATAAGTGAAGAAATTTTAAGTGTTTCTAGGTTTAATTTGACTGTCGGAGATGTGTTGTTAGGGATTAATCGCAGAAAACCCATCAGTGATACTGGCAATGAAGGAATGAGGAAGGCAGCGGCATTCGGCACCAAAAATAATCACGTACCTTTTACCGTGTTTATGAACACGAATTTTGCCATTGATGGGAATACACCGGAAGGTCAGAAGCGAAATTCTGGCCTTTCAATACTGCCAATTCTGTGCTGCGGCACACACCACCGTTCATTGATTGCCTCACCAGAAAGTGTTCCGGGATGTGCTTGTTCCCTCTCAGCCTCCTAGGTGCATGTATTTAATTTATTTAATTACAAAATAGCTACAAGAAGAGTAGCGTCGGGTACTGTGTGGGTGGTCGGGGGAGGGGGTTGCTTATTCCGAACCATGTATCATTCATCTCTGTATTGTCCAATTGTTTTTATATATGTCAAAATGTGTTGTTTTGGGACCAGAGCACCGCCACCTCCACGTTGGTTGGTCCCGGGTAACGTAGAGAGCTGTGAGGTAAGTTATTCGCGATTTCTTCCCACTGAGACTTTTTCGACAAATTTAAGAGCTACTAAGTGACTAATAACACTATTCCGAACACATGGTTAAGTTTTCAGAAAGATCGGTGGTGGGGACCTCTTTCTTAACATTTACTGCTTCGCGTGCCTAAAACGTCCCTTTTCCACAGATTATGATGGAAAATATCGTTCGATACTCGCCTTCGGCGTGTGCCATAAACCTCCCACGAGCCAAAAAAACAGTTTTCCGCACTCGTATCGAAATATACTATTTTGACACTGCTGCTACGTTCACCTCGTGTCGAAAAGTGCCGTTTCCTTTACTCGTAAACGAAAAAGGTACAGTTCGGCCACTCGTTGAACGTAACATCACTGTCAACAAATATTGTTCGACACATGTGAGATGGGAATTTTTAGCTCATGTGATTAGCAGCCCTCGGCTTCGCCTCGGGCCGCCAACTTCACACTCGGGAAAGATCTGTCTTACTCGTAGCGAAATATACTATTTCATCACGCTATGCAAAAAAGTAACTTTTTAGGCACGCTTCGCGTGAAAAAACTCTTTTCCACACTCGTTACGAAATATACTATTTTTTCGAGATATTTAAAAAACAGTCATTTAGAAGCAAAAACTTATAGACGACAATAAAAAATTAAAAATTCATAAAAATAAAATTACCATCTACTAATAAATTCTCAGATATTCAAGAAGTTGAATGAAATAGTATTGAGAAATTATCGGCCTACTTCATTAAATAACCCAGATAATGATGCTCCAAATGTGTATTATGAGTAAATATCTTTACAACAATAGAATTAGGTTCGTGGGAAAGAAATTCTGGTGTTGGAATTTGAACTTTGCTAACATTTTCAAAAATAATCTGTTTGATCAACGCCGGAAATTTCTCTCCATAACTGCTTCGGTGTCCTTTGTAATTTTCAACATTTCAACTTCATATTTTCCACTCCTATCCACACTATTTACCAAGCACAAATTTCCCAGATAATCCCCCTCTTTATCTCTCGCGATACCAACCGTGTAAAGTACGAATATTCGACGTGAGCGAAAGTGGCTTGTTTACTTACTTTGACTGCCGGCAGCGAAGCCCAAGAGTATCAAAAACATGAACATCATTTTGATCAGCATAACGAAATTGAGTTTCAATCACTCTCAATCTCGATGATTAACCTAATTGATAACTCGTCCAAGTCCAAATGTCACTTCATTCCAATCACACAATTTGTTATTATTGATTATGAAACAATCCACAGATTTAGAATTTGTTGAGTTCTAGACGCCCAAAAGTTTCTCGTTTTATTTCATTCGGTGAATGATACGAAGGGAAATGAAATCTGGCCTCAGAATTCACTTGAATAAGACACGGAATTGTGACTCTGCCGTTGTGTTCTTGATGCGGCAACGTGAAACGGAGCGTGCAGCCACTTTCCACCATGTACCTTCTGTACTATTTGGCTCTTCTCGACCCTGCGTATATACCAAGTGTGTATCAAGTAGCTCTGGCTATAAGTACCGTTGTGGCGTCGCACTTGGATCGTTCTAACGAAACGCCTCAATTTTTCGTATGCAAATGTATTAAAATATTCAAATTGTAATAAATATAGAAAATCCTAGGGTCCTATTTCACAGTTAATTAAGAGTGGTTATTCGGCTGATCTGTTGTTATTGATTTGTTGGAGGGTAATTGGAGGGTGTCAGTTCGTGATTGTTACACTGAGACACGTTCCACCTACGAATTATTAATCCGCACGCACCACCGGCCTGCGAGCGAATGCCGATGATAAAACCTCAATGAATCCACACAGGGTGAGGGATTCGCCGTATTGTGGTAGTTGGAGTATCCCCCACTCTTGGAAAAACGAGCACGCGGTCGCCTCATTACTGGCGCACGTCTCTCCCCACTCTGGATAAGCCAAGGGCGGGGTGAACAGCCGGCGACCGTTACTCGAAGGGTGAGATGAGTTGAGGTTGTCAATGGAGCAGGTTTCTGATTTTTTTGGCAGTTGATGGTAATGTAGAGTATGCCGTCAACTACCCACATGAGAGAATCTAGGAATTGCAGTGAAAGAAATAATGATTACATGTGGTAGAAAAGCGGCAGTATTGGGCTCGCTATTCACCGATGGCGGCGCTGGTCTCGCCAAGCAGGGTTGCGGTCACGAGCGCCAGATATTTAGTGGCCGTCATATCCAACGTGATAAATTAAAAATCCCTTAACGACGTAAGTTGCCGATACGCCATGCCAAAGAGGATAGACCTGAGTAGAGGCCCGGCTCGGGGGGTTTGACTGACTCCAAAAATGTTAGTTGGTACCCCACGGGAAAAGCGGCGTCCCGGTCGAATTGTCGGTAAATGTGAATCGGGTGCGTGAGTAACTCGGCAGTAGCAGTCCCGCTACTCCCGCTGTGACAGGGACAGGTTCGGAGAAGGATTTTTGTCCTCCTTGTACTCAATGTTTACTTTATGTTTTTCAGTTGATTTATTCGCCGACTAATTAATATTAAGAGATGAAACAAAGACTGTTCAATGGAGAATTAAATTCCCCATCCATCAACCCCCGTTTCATCCCTTAATCTCTGCAATAAAAAAATTAATATTGCGACGAAAGCCACGGCGCTAAAGAAACCCAATGTTTTCTCGGCGCAGAGTGAGTCCCCAATAATTCGCCCGCTAATTAAAAAATCGTCTCTCCCCTCCTAATTAACATTAAGGAATGAAACCAATGCTGTTCGATGGAGAATTAAATTCCCCATCCATCAACCCCCGTTTCATCTCTTAATCTCTGTAATAAAAAAATAAAAACTGCGACGAAAGTCGCGGCGCTATGAAAAACCTAATGGTTTCTCGGCGCAGTGACTCCCGACAATTCGCCCGCTAATTAAAAAATCGTCTCTCCCCTCCTAATTAACATTAAGGAATGAAACCAATGCTGTTCGATGGAGAATTAAATTCTCCACTCAACAACTCTCGTTTCATACCTTAATCTGTCTAATGAAAAAATTATAACTGCGACGAAAGTCGCGGCGCTAT